TATGTCAATTATTGCTCAGAAAAAGAATCTACCAATAACTTATAAGGGTGGCTTTAGAGCTTTTGAATGCTATCTGGTTCCAGTAGGCGAATGAAATCTACATGCAATTATATAATTATCTTGTAATTATTATATTAATTATAATTATCTTGCATAACATCGTGGAAAAATTTGATATTGGCCTGATGACAGAATTAAAGTTTACCAAGTTGCCTAAAGCTTGGTACTTGAGTTAGCTATAACGTCTACATTAACAATTTCATTTTTTTTGGGACAAAAGCCTCCCTACCATAAAAACCAACAGGTCGAGCGATTTCTAGAAAAGATTACACCAATTCCTTTCCGATCATGCGACTAGTAGGTTCAGCCGTCATGGCCGTCCAAAATGTACTTTTTTGCTGAACGCCACAACATTCAACAGTCGGGATTTTGCAGTCACTTATTTGGCGCTCCAGTTATTGCTGCAGCAGTGACAGCGCCTTCATCCTATAACACCGGTAGTTAGGGAACTGTTCGTAAGATTTCGATGTACTTCGATACAGAATCCCCTTTCTTTCGAGAACTCGCAAGCATTAAAACTCGCTGATGCTCCTGCTGAAATTCAGGAAATCCTTACTACATCAGTTCACTGTGCCCTCATGATTCTCAAGCCGATAACTTAATCTGCATCAACTTGTTCCAACGCTGTATTAAGATGTAGTGAATTTGGTTATATTGATTACCACTTCTGTGTAAGAAGGTTAGAGAGTTTCATCATTCTGTTCTTTATTACACACAAGAAGATGATTCGATTGAATCTAATTTTCTTCAAAACAGGTTTTTATAATGCCTCAGCGAGGCATGAAATGATGCGAGACAAAAGATGCAGAAGGACTTCTTCAGGCGAACTATCTAATCCAAAAAGTGAAGGCAACTTCTGACTGCGACCAGTGATGCAAAGATGATGACGGTTACTTGTATGGATTGGAAGACAAAAACGATTATCGTGGCAGTGCTTTGAGAAAGACTAACAATTTTTAGCTATAATCATAAAATCGATTCCAATCTGTTTTGTGCCTGTTTAACTTCCAGTGGTTATAATACGTTGCTTGTGATTGACGACAACTTGAACTTAAAGGCTCCTCCATATTCACATAGAGGTTTCAAATGCAAATAGTAACTTTGATAGAAACATGCTTTATATACACCATTTTTTCGTTAATAACTAGTTGGCATAAACATAAACTTTTTTAAAAAT